CACAGTGCAGCAGCCTTCGTCGTTTGCCATTGGGCATAATATTAACCTGCTGGACTAAATGCTTGCATAGAAGGAAGCGACTTCCAAGAAAGGCAGGACAGCTGCAGACCCAGCGAGCAACATCAGTGAAATATGAACTGTCTAGATTTGTTACTTTCATACTGGTGTTTCGTTTTTTTTTGCCCTTGACATGCTCATCGGTTCGCTGATTGTTACTTGCAGACACAATAATCCATGCTTTCTTGAAATCATCCCACCACCACGGTATCACCACGCTGGTTAGAATTTGGGATAGTCACTCTTTTTGTGCTGGTATTATCTCGTTGATGACTGTTCAAAGCAGCAAATCAAGTCTTGGAAAATGAAACGGTGTAGATAACACCTTTTAATGACACTCCAGTGGGCTTCAATCATCATTGTTGTTTTTCCAAAAGGTATAGTGGATCTAACTGATTATGCTCACAGGTATCACCGCTCTAATGAATACCAGTTGGTCCAGAGGTAGACCCATAGTAATCGCAAGGAATTTTCCACACAGAATTGATACATTTCTCTTATGACACTTTGTCTGATATCTGTTGATATCATGGAGTTTTCTTGAGCATCGATGGATATCAATGGGTGCATATCGAAATGTTTCTGCATCAGCTTCAAAATCAACTCTCGATATGCTGGTGGACAGATAACGTACGTCCTTGAATCGCGATCTTCTTGTGTTGGGTAAAAGGTGGGATTAATAAAGTCAAACTCGTTAATTACTTTACTGACATTGTAAGCTACAGTACGTAGTTGTGTTTCATGTTGTGTTTCATGATCTGTATTGTTTAACGGCTTGGCTTTCTCTTTGAGCTTAAGTTTTAGGGCCCGATTCATGTGCCAAGCGCATAATTGGACTGTCAAAGGTCCCCACACCTTAGTCGCCGCATTAATCTCTGCGAAATCTTTATCAGTAAACACAAATCCTGGATTAATATCACATAGCTTCAAGATTTCTAAGAAGCTCTCCAAGACTTTACAACGTCTGCCCGTACTAGTACTCGTATCTGCCTTAGTTGTATCAAGTATAAGATAGGCAATTGGGAAGCCGGTGCCTTTAACTTCTGCTATGACACCATAAAGTTCGTAGTGTCCACGTGCAGTTTTATAAGTGGCATCTAAGTATATCTCAGTAATATTAATGCCGTAATTCTTGATTTCGTTCAGCAACGGGGTAGTAAAACCGATAGCTGTGGTCTCCGAATCTTTTATATCAAGATACAAATGGAAACCATGACTATCGTATTCATTGAGCAACTTGCAAGCGGATTCAACGTGGTCATCATAACATTGGAATAACTTCCGGCCTGCTATAGACTTCCAGAAGTAAATGCACTTGGAAGAGTACTTTGAGATATCGAATCCTTGATGTCATAGATGATTTTTTAAGTCCACTACAGTAAGGTGCGAATGTGTATTGATCTCTTCCCGTAGTTCATTGGGCATCTCAATGCA